TGAGAGCCAGGGGGACTCCATCATTGCAGGATCAGTTAAACGTGGCTGAGCTCACTAAGGAGACTGAGACGGTACAGCCATAGAGATAAAAGGAAAAGGGAAGCTGGGGAAGAGTGTCAAGGAGGGAGTGAGCAGTAGTGTCAGATAGAAGATCAGATTATGGAAGAGCTGAAAAGGCATGTGTTGGATTTGTTCACCTGGTGGTCATTGCTGACCTTAGTGAAAACCAGCTACCCAACATGGTGGAGCAGAGATAAGGTGCTGTTGCGTGAGAGGACCAAAGAAAGCTCAGTGAATATAGCCACACTTCTTTGAGACGTTTGACTTTAAAAAAGCAAATAGACCAGGCATGGTGGCTCACACCCGTAATCCCAGCACTTTGGGAGGCTAAGATGGGCAGATTGCTTGACCTGAGGAATTTGAGGCCAGTCTGAGCAACATAGTGAGACCCGTCTCTACAAAAAAAAATTTATATTTAGCTAGGTATGGTGGTTCATGCTTATAGTTCTAGCTACTTGGGAGGCTGAGGCAGGAGGATCCCTTGAGCACAGGAGTTTGAGGCTGCAGTGAGCTATGATTCTACCTCTGTGCTCCAGCCTGGCCAACACAGCAAGGCTCTGTCTCTTTAAAAAACAAACAAACAAAAAAAAGAGCAAATAGAGGGTGAAGATGTGAAGGAAGGAAGGAAGAGGGTGAAGGAAGGAAGAAAGAGGGTGCTGATGAAGATGTAGGGGTCAAGGAAAGGTTTGTTCTGTTGCTTTTAAAGATGTAAAAGACTTAAGCATGCCAAGGTGAACAGATTGGAGATATTCAGATATGGGAGAGAGTAGGAATAGTAAAAATTCCAGACAGTCTGGGTGGAGTGGATGTGGATCATAGAGGGAGGGAGTTGGTGAAAGAGAGTTACCCTCTTCTGTTGTTCCAAGAGGGAGGAAGAAAAGTGTAGGTAAAGATATAGACTGGCTTTTACACCGTATGGTGGAAATGGAAGTCAGTCCCATCAGTGGCTTCTCTGCTCTGAAGTACACTGTGATAGTCTCCTGCTGAGAGGAAGGGCAGGTGCATGGCTGGAGATTGGAGAGTAGAGAATGTTTGAGACACCTGTCCTGATGAATGGGAGAGGGGGCCAGCACATTCTCTTTGAAGGCTATAGATATTTGACTAGCAGGTTGCTTTGTAAATTAAAAGTACTATCCACATGTTGAAATTATTTTGAATTGTTCAACCAGCACAAATCATAATTAAACATTTTCCCCCTATTTCATTTAGGTTTCCATATGGAGACGGTAGAATATAAAAATATCACCTTCACAGTCTGAGATGTTGGCAGCCACTTCAAAATGAGACCTCTGTGGCAGCATATTTTCCAGAACACAAAAGGTAAAGATTATTCAGTGTACAGCCTCAATACTGTTTCTGTGAAATGTCTCTAAAGACAGATGCTTGAAGTGATACCTTGTGGTGCTCTGCTCTATTGACACTGTCAGCCACTCCCTCTCTTAGGGTCCCCTTACTGGGGAGCTTTCTTTTGTGAGACAGAGTCTTGCCCTGTTGCCCAGGCTGGAGTGCAGTGGTGTGATCTCGGCTCCCTGCAACCTCCGTCTCCTGAGTTCAAGTGATTCTCCTGCCTCAGCCTCCCGAGTAGCTGGGGTTACAGGCATGCACCATCATGCCTGGCCAATTTTTGTATTTTTAGTAGAGATGGGGTTTCGCCATGTTGGTCAGGCTGGTCTTGAACTTCTGATCTCAGGTGATCCACTTGCCTTGGCCTCCCAAAGTGCTGGGATTACAGGTGTGAGTCACCATGCCCGGCCTGCATTATTACTTTTTAATATTTTTGGTTCAAGGTGGGTTGAAACTGTGGATACAGAGGGCTGACTATAGTTTTTACACCCTGATTTTCATGTAAAATATTAACCATATGGAATCTACAAATTACTCATTTTAGAATTTATTTGGAGTCTGTTCGTTTTGAAGGTTCTCCTGCATGTACTTGATAGTAAAGACTTACACATTCGTCAGTCTTTCCCGACTAAATACCCTAGTCGACTGTCCCTCTATATTTTATATCATTGTTTTAGCTGTTACCTTTGGCAATTAACTCTACTTGCAGTTAGCTTTTCCAGGCTATAGATTTTAGAATGTTTTTTCTCAAAGTAGTGCATTTATATTTTTTAACTTCTTTAGCGGAAAATCTAAAACAAATACAAAGACAGAGAAGACAACATAACGAACCCCCACGTACCCATCACCAAGCCTCAACAGTTATTAGCATTTTGCCCATCCCAGACATGATGCCTTTTATTCATACATCCTTTAGTGTTCGTTTCCAACTGATAAGGCCTTTTATATACATATATATGTAAATCTCCATGCCATTATAACATCTCCAAAATTAATACTAATTCTTTAATATCTAGTACCTAGTCCCTATTCTAATTCCCCCAGTTGTATCAAATGTATCCTGGCTGGGTGTGGTGGCTGACACCTGTAATCCCAGCACTCTGAGAGGCCAAGGCTGGTGGATCACCTGCGGTCAAGAGTTGGAGACCAGCCTGGCCAACCTGGTGAAACCCTATCTCTACTAAAAATATGCAAAAAAATTAGCCAAGCATGGTGGTGTGTGCCTGCAATCCCAGCTACTCGGGAGGCTGAGACAGGATATTCTCTTGAACCCGGGAGGTGGAGGTTGCAGTGAGCTAAGATCGCACCATTGCACCCCAGCCTTGGCAACAGGGCAAGACTCCATCTCAAAAAAAAAAAGTATCTTTTCTACATCTGCTTTGTTTGCATCTGGATCAAAGTTCACACAGTGCATTTTGTTGTTTTGCCTCTTTAGTCTTTTATTCTACAGCAGTTGTTCTTTTTCTATGCCTTTCGTTTTCCTTATTTTATTTTATTTTAGAGACAGGGTCTCGTGCAGTGGCACAATCTCGGCTCACTGCAGCCTCTGCCTCCTGGAGTCAAGCGATCCTCTCACTTCAGCCTCCCAGATAGCTGGGACCACAGGTGCATGCCATCACACCTAGCAAATTTTTTTATACTTTTTGTAGAGATGGGTTTTCCACCATGTTGCCCAATCTGGTCTCAAACTCCTGGGCTCAAGCATCTGCCCACCTTGACCCCCCAAAGTGCTGAGACTATAGGTGTGAGCCACCTCGCCTGGCCTCCCCTTTTTTTTTTTTTGGTTGTTAACTGTTTATTCCACATTCTGGATTTGGCTGATTACTTTATTATGGTGCCGTCTAACTTGCTTGGCTGTCTGTGGATTTCCTGTGAACTGGTTGTTTATTCTAGAGACTTGATTAGATTCTGGCTCATTTCAGAGGCAAGAATACTTCATAAGTATTCTTCCTATCCTAATACAGAAGTTCGGTTGTCACACTTAAACATTTTTTAAAAATTTTTATCGTGGCAAAATATACATAATATAAAAATTACAAGTTTATTCTTAAGTATACAATTCAGTGGCATTAAGTGCATTCACCGTGTTTTATAACCTTCACCACTGTCCATTTCCACAATTTTTTCATCATCCCCAACAGAAACTTTGTATGCATTAAGCCATAACTGCCCATTCCCCTCTCTCCCAACCCTTAGTAACCTTTATTCTACTCTCTCTCTATGAATTTGCCTATTCAGTGGAATTGTATATTAGTCTTTCGAAGTTCAGCCGCCTGGCCTCTTAATACAGTGTTTTCAAGGTTCATCTATGCAGTAGTATGTATCAGAACTTAATTCCTTTAATGGCTGAATAATATTCTATTGTACGGATATACCATGTTTTGTTTATCCATTCATCTGTTGATGGACTCTTGAGTTGCTTCTGCCTTTTGGCTATTATGAATAATGTTGCTCTAAACATTCATGTCCAAGTATCTGTTTGAGTCCGTGCTTTGAGTTCTTTGGGTATATGCCTAGAAGTGGAATTGCTGGGTAACTATGTTTTAATTAATTAATTAATTAATTTATTTATTTATTTATTTATTTTTTGAGACGAAGTCTCCCTCTATTGCCCAGGCTGGAGTGCAGTGGTGTAATCTCGGCTCACTGCAACCCTGGCCTCCTGGGTTCAAGCAATTCTCCTGCCTTAGCCACCCGAGTAGCTGGGACTACAGGCGTGAGCCACCACGCCTGGCTAGTTTATTTGTATTTTTAGTAGAGACGGGGTTTCACCATATTGGCCAGGCCAGTCTCAAACTCCTGACCTTGTGGTCCACCTACCTCTGCCTCCCAGGGTGCTGGGATTACAAGCATGAGCCACTGCACCCAACCTCATTATTTTTTTATTGTGGTAAAATACACATAACTTAAAATTTAGCATCTTAAGCTTTTTTTTTTTTTTGGTTTTGTTTTGTTTTGTGGTAGTGATGTTTTTGTGAGATGAGGTCTCTATATGTTACTT